TCACCAGCATTTATTTTCATTCACATTCTTTTTTTTTTTTTAAAGAGAGAGAAAATTTTTTAATATTTATTTTTTAGTTTTCTTTTTCGGTGGACACAACATCTTTATTTTATTTTTATGTGGTGCTGAGGATTGAACCCAGCGCCCCGTGCATGCCAGGTGAGCGCGATACCGCTTGAGCAACATCCCAGCCCCTCACATTCTTGATAATTGCCATTCTGACTGGAGTGAGATGAAATCTTAGTGTAGTTCCTAATTGCTAGAGATACTGAACAGTTTTTCATATTTCTTAGCCATATATGTTTCTTCTTTTGAGAAGTTTGTATTTAATTCTTTGCCCATTTATTGATTGGGCTATTTGTTTTTTTGGCATTGAGTTTTTTGAGTTCTTTATATATTCTGGATATTAATCCCCCTGTCAGAGGAGTAGCTGGCAAGATTTTCTCCCATTCTGTAGGCTCTCTCTTCACTCTTAATCTTTACCTTTGCAGTGCAGAAGGTTTTTAATTTGACAGCATCACACTTACTGATTTTTATTTTTATTTCTTGAGCTTTAGTGTGACACTTTAGTAGATTCACTTTTTAAAAGTGTCTATGGCAATATTCCCTTTTTCATCTCTAATCTTGTTAATTTGGTTCTCTCTCTTTTTGTTAATTTGACTAAAGTTTTATTAATGTTATTTATCTTTTCAAAGAACCAACTTTTGTTGCATTGATCCTGTGTAATTTTTTAGTCTCAATTTCATTAATTTCGGCTCTGATTCTTTTTATTTTTTGTCTTACATTGACTTTAGAGGTTTTTTTGGTTTTTTTTTTTTCTTTTTCTAAGGTTTAAGGTAGAGCTTATTTATTTGTGGTCTCTCTGTATTTTTAATGTAGATACTCAGAGCAGTGAATTTTCCTTTTGTTACTGTTTTCATACTGTACCAAAGATTTTAATATATTGTATTGTTGTTTTCATTTGTTTTTAAGAATTTCTTCTCTCATTTCTTCTTTGATCCATTCCTCATTTAAAAGAGTATTGCTTAATTGTTTTTCTTGCTGTTGGTTTCTAGTTTCATTCCATTAGGGTACAGTAGAATGCATGGAATTTTATTGATCTTTTTATGTTTATATTGTGATCAGAAGCTGCCAAAAGAAGGTGAATTTACCAGTTTTGGTGTGAAATATTCTGTTAATGTCTATTAGGTCCATTTGATTTATAGTATTAGTTAGGTTGGAAATATCTTTATTGATTATGTACTTTGATGAGCAGTCTATTGGTGACAAGGGTGTATTGAAATCATCCAATATTATTGTATTGAGATCTATCTGGGATTTAATGTCAAAGAGTATTTTTTAAATGTTACTAGGTGCATTGACATTTGGGACACATATAGTTACTATTGTTATATCTTCATGGTGGATCATTTCCTTTACCAGGATGTAATGGCCTTCTCTATTGTTTTTGATTTATTTTTGCTTGAAATCAACTTTGTCAGATATCAGGATAGCTATTCTAGCTCGTTTTCAAACTCCATGGAATACTTTTTTCCCATCCTTTTACCTTCAGCCTGTGAGCATCTTTGCCTATGAGATGAGTCTCTTGCAAATAGCATATATTTGGATCTTGTTTTTTGATCCTTTCTGCTAGTCTATGTCTTTTAATTGGAGAATTGAGACCACTTACATTCAATGTTATTATGGATATGTTTCTGGTTTGCTGACTTTTTTGGGTGATATTTAATTCTGTCTTGATTCTCATTTAATGATTAGTTGCAGAAAATTTTCCCTAATTGATCTTCACTTATTTGAGAGTTTTGGATTTTGTTTTTGAATTCCTCTGCACGGTATTTATCTTTGAGGATTATTTGTAGTGCTGGCTTAATTGCCATTTATTTATTTATTTATTTATTTACTTTATCTTTGTTCTAGAAAGTTTTTATCTTCCCATTAAATATGAAAGATAGTTTTGCTGAGTATATCAATCTTGGCTGACAGTTGTTTTCTTCTAGAGCTTGGAATATCTTATTCCAGACCCTCCTTGATTTTAGTGTCTGTAAAGAAGTCAGAAGTGAGTCTTATTGGATTTCCTCTAAATGTGACCTGATGTTTCTCTCTTGCAGTTTTTAATATTCTTTCCTTATTTTTTATGTTAGGCGTTTTGATTATGATGTGTCTTGGAGAACTTCTGTTTTGGTCAGGTCTCTTTGGGGTCCTATATACCTCTTGTATGTGTGTCTATCTCATTTCTGAGGGGGGCGGGCGGGATTTTCTGCAACAGTCTCATTGAAAATCTTCTTAATTCCTTTAGCTTGTTATCTCCACATTCTCTTCTCCCAGTGAGTCTCAGGTTTGGTCTCTTGATGTCCAAAATTTCCTATATACTCTGATCATGTTCTGTATTTTTTTTTCCTTTTATTGTATTCCATATACTTAAATTCGTGTATTCCCTTTCAAGGCCTGATGTTCTGTATTTGAGAGCTGAAGTTCTATTTTCTACACAGTCTAATCTATTGGTGATCTTTCAAGTGAATTTTTAATTTGATTCGTTGTATTTTTTATTTTTAAGAGTTCTGATTTATTTCTATCTCTTTAATGAATGGTCTCATCTCCTGCATCTACTCTCTTAGCTCATTCCTTAGATCTTTTTTTAGTTCATGGAATATTTTAATTCATTTTTATCATTTTTCTCATCCACTTCTGTATCTGTGGGATCCTTTCTTAGAAGATTCTGAGTCTTGTGGGGAGATGTTTGCCTGGTTCCTAATTTTTTTCAGAGGTCCTGGACTTGTGCAACAATTGAAATGGATTCCCCTTCCTCTTTTAATGCATAGTCTTTATGCATGTATTTTTTTTTCATTTGTATTTATTAGACACAGTCTTTAAAATGAAATATACCATAAATCTAATGTTATATTTTTTTCATAACGTAGTAGTGGCATGTTTTTTGTTGTTGTTTTTGTTGTTTTGCTTATGTCTGATTCTTTCTTAGAGAAGTAATTTTCTGTGAATATATCATTTTTTACAGATGGGAGCAGATATATATATCTATGTTATAAAGGCATAGAATTACATCAAGGGACTGTGTTCTGAAATGAAAATTATCTAGTGCATTTTTAAAGTTGAGAATTTTTGTTTGTTTGATGTGGAATTTTGCTTACTTATTATTGAATGTCAGTAAACATTATTCTTAGAACCTCTGTATTTATAGTTGCTATCTAGTTATGTTTGATACTTTGACAGCAGTACAGCATTTTTAGGTACTATGTCATATACTTCATCATACTTTATCTTAATGCTCTGAAAGGTTAGTGCTTCCTCCAAGGTTTTGATTTGTTTAGTTTTGCAGTGCTAACAATCAAACCCAGGCCTTGCACATGCTAGGTTTGCATTCTATCATTGACTTATATATGTAGCCCCAGTAAGTGATCTGATTTATTTCCAGACATTAATTACAGTCTGGAGAAAGATGACTAATTAATACATATGGTTCTCCCAAAGTATGAGTGACTCCCAAAGCAATAGTCTAATCTCATTTAAAATTGAAGACACTGGAATGGGCAAGAATTTGGGGGACAAGATCTCCAAAACACAGGGAACAACAGCAAAAATAGACAAATGTTTTTATATATAATTTTCTATATAACAAAGGAAGCAATCTTCAAAGTGAAGAAACAGCCTACAGAATGGGAGAAAATATTTGCAGACTATACATGAGATAAGGATTTAATGTCTAGAATACATAAGGAAGTCAGAAAAAATCAACAGCAAAATATCTCTATTTAAAAATGAGTAATAGATCAAAGTAGCCGTTTCTAGCAAGACATATAAATGGCCAGTAGGCATATAAAACAAATGTTCAGAATCACAGATTATCAGAGAAGTGCAAATCAAAATGTCAGTAAGATACACTTCACTCCAGTAAGCATGGCTACTATCTAAAAGACAAAAAGATCAGCCTAGGGGTGTAGCCCAGTAGTAGGGGGTTTAGCTCAGTAGTAATGTGTGCTTCAGGTGTGCAAGACCCTGGGTTTGATTCTCAGTAGCAGCCAAGGGGGGAAAAAAAAGATAAAAAGGGTTGGTAAGTGAAGGTATGGAAGAAAGGAACCCTTGCACACTGTTGGGGAGTGTAAAGTAGTATAGCTATTATATAAAACAGTGTAGAGGTTCTTCAAAATTTTCAAAATAAAAAACTACCATATCAAACAGTCCCACTCCTGGATATATATCCAAAGGAAATGAAATCAGTATGTCAAGGAGACATCTGCACTTCACGTTCATGACAGTACTGTTCACAATAGCCAACAAATGGAAATAGCCTAAGTGTCTATTAACCAATGAGTGGATAAAGAATACACACAATAGATTACTATTCAGCCATAGAAAAGAAAGAAATCCTGTCATTCCTGACAACATGGATAGAATTAGAGATGATTATGTTAAGTAAAATAAATTAGGCACAAAAAGAAAAGTACTGTACAATCTTACTCAGTATGTGGAACTTCTAAAAGTCTGTTTCATAGAACTGAGCATAGTATGGTGGTTACCAGAGGCTCAGTGGAAAAATTGGAAAGGTTGATCAATGAAAACTAAGCTGCAACTAGGAGTGAGTAGTTCTTAGTGTGTTGTGCCTCTCTGAGTTGCTGAGGCTGTACTTGAACTTGTGATCTCCTTGCTTCAATCTCTTTTGAGTTGCTAGAATTATAGATTTGTACCACTTTACAATTTTTAAAGGATTCAGAGACGTGTGCTTTCTGATGTTATATAAGTTATACAGTGTTCTGTTAATCCCATGATTACATACCTTTATTTTGTCTACTAATATGATACATATAAAGTGTTTTGCAGCTGTAAAAGTAGATCGGGTGAAAGTGCATGCTCACTGGTAATGGTTAGTGTCATATTTTTATTCTCTCAGTAGGCAAATGTTAATTTAATTTTAGAATGCATTCATTGTTAAACATTATTGTTATATTCACTGAGTGAAATCATAATCTGACTTTCTTTTTTCTTGTTAGCAACTTGAATTGGTGGAACCAAGTGGCTGGATTCATGTTCCTTTAACTGATAATCATAAGAAGCCAACTCGAACATTCATGATACAGATTGCTGTTCTAGCCAATCACCAGAATGGAAGAGATACCCACATGAGACAAATTAAAATATACACACCAGTGGAAGAGAGCTCTATTGGTAAATTTCCCAGATGTACAACTATCGATTTCATGATGTATCGTTCAATAAGGTGACTTTAAAGTGGAGCAAAAGTGACGAATCCTTTGTTTTGTTCTGTTATTACATTTTATGTTGGAGATCTTTATTGAAAAATGCTTCAGTTATTTTGCAATTTTGTATACATTTAAAAGTATTTTAATTTTTGATAAATAAATTTTGGATCTTATTGTCTCAGTTTTCTTTAACATACAATTAAGCTCACAGATTTTACTTCACTAAAAAAGAATCCAAAGCCAATCTGTATATTTCCCTTGTATTAAAAGAAAACTAGTTTAACTGAAAATTTCAGTATATACACAGTTTTTTAAATCAACCAGTTCATCATTTCATGTAGTGATCATTGCATATTTGAGAACAAAACTATGTTTTACCAAAGTGTATATAACCTCTAACAGTCAAGGTTACCCCAACACACACACCTTCCCTTAAAGGAAGCTTATTTTTTAAAATACTGGATCTTTTTAAAAAAAATAGTGTCAAAATGAACTTGATACTAGCTGTCAGATAAGAACCATCTGATTTGGGAATATCATTAATTGTCTTATGTTTACTTCCATGAAACACTTATAACCCTAGGGTTATCTATATTCTGACAATATTATGTTGGAGACTAATGTTATAATCTGCTGTTTATCTCAATTCAAGCAATACTTATAGTTAGTTTCAAACTTTGGTGTGACACTGTATCATTTCCTGGAGATAACATGTCCTGTGAAATTTTTAAAAATAAATAAAAGTGTTTTCTATAAAGATTTTAAATAAACACATAAAAATCCCTGGCACCACAGAAAAACAAAACAAAGCAAAAGAATATTATATATCTGACAGATATTTGTGTCTAAAATATATGAAGAACTCTTATGATTCCCCAGTCAAAAGAAAAAACAATCCACTTAAAAAGTGAGCAAAAGATTTGAGCTTCACCAGCTCAAACTATGTGACTGGTCCATTCCATTCCTACATTTGTCTGAGAAATGAAAGCCTATGTCCATATAAAGATTTGTACGTGAATGTTCACATACAATTGTTCACGTGTAAATGTAAGAAAAGGAGTAAAAGTAGAAAACATACAGCTTTGTAATACAGATACAGTCTCCTTTACCCCCATAATGCTTGGAACCAGAGGGGTTTTGAGTTTGGGATATTTTAGATTTTGAAATACTTTGTAGATACATAATGAGATATCTTGGGAATGGGAACCCAGGTTTCCAAACATGAGATTCATATATACCTTATATACATAGCTTGAAGGTAATTTTATCCAGTGTTTTTAGCGTGGAATTTTAAATTAGTCATAGAACACTATAAATGAACAACTCTTCAAAAGGACCAGTTCATTCAACTGATGTGTGTGTGTGTGTGTGTGTGTGTGTGTGTGTGTGTGTGTGCGCGCGCGCTC